AATTGAATATAATACTAAAAAGTTTTATTAGTAATATATTTTTTTTTTATATATAAAATTTTATTTGCTAGGAAAATCATATAACAAATAATTTATATCACTCTTACTCTTAATATTAATAAGTTTTAAACTTACAATTTATTACTTAAAAATTAACAATTTATTACTTAAAAATTAACAATTTATTACTTAAAAATTAACAATTTATTTATTTTATTAAGTTGTTATATTTTAGTTAATATTATATTAATTTATTATATTTTGTAAATTTTTATTATTAATTTGTTTTATAATATTTTTGCTAGTTACTTAACTATATATAATTTTATGTTTCTATTTATTTAAATTATTATTAAAAATAATTGTTTGTAATTGGTTATCTTATTATATATTTTTTAAGTTCTATTTCTTATATTTATATTAGTCTTATCTGTTTGTATATTTTTAGTCTTAATTTTGTTTAAATTAAAGTTTTGTTATTCTAATATATTTGAATTGTTATTAATAGGTACAGTTGACTCTGGAAGTTTAGGACAGTTATACAGAAACATAAAAAAATAAAAAATTTCATAAACATAAAATTATATTTTATAATTGTTAATGACTTTTTTTGATTTTTTATTACATAATATGTTTTAGTGTAACTGTCTTAAACTTTCAGAGGCAACTGTATATTTCTGTTTATAGTAATTATTATATTGTTATTATTTGTAATAATTTGCATCTTATATTTTTTTTATAAACTTTGTTGTTATTATAACTTTTTATATAATTAATAATATCATCTTAAAATTCTTCAAAGATAAACTAGATTGTTTATTTTTTGTACCAACAAGAGTAATTATAGGAGCAGTATATCTTCATTTATTATTATTAGTAAGAAATCAAATTATTTATGTCTTAAAGATTATTTTTTTAACTGCTGTTATATTGTGCATAATTGTATTTATTAGAATTTTTTTAAGAGAATTATGTAAGAAAACTTTTTTTAATAGTTTGAAAAAATTTTATTGTTTTGATTTGTTATTTTTTTTCTTTATTTTGTTTTATTTAATTTGTTCTATTTTCAGTTGTTTTTCTGTTATGTACAAGTACATGTTAGTTAAAAATTTATTGTTATTTAGTATTGATATTAGGCTTTATATTATTTTTGATTTTTTGGTTTATTTGTCTTAATTATATACTAAAAAAAGTTTTTATACAAACAATACTTATTATTTGCAATAATTATTATTTTTATATTAATGTATTTTTATTACTAAATGCATTAATTATAGCTTATTATATTTTTTTGGATTTCTTTTTTTAAAACAATATCATTTGTTTTTTTTATTTTCTAACAGTTTCAAGATGATATGTTATAAATCAACAATCTTTTTTTTAAATTAAATACATTCATACAGCTAATTAAAATTTAGAACAAATTCTTTTTTATTTTGTAAAATAATCATATTTATAATAAAATTTTTGAAACAACTGCTTAAAGTTCATGTCTAAGCCACATGATCACGTGCCTGAGTTTTTTGACAGTGATACCGGGGGGAGTTATTCACCAATAAGGATATACGAATACACGGATGCAAAAATTATATATATATAGATTTATTTGTTTATTTATTTATCGATATTAATAATTTTCATTTGGAATTTGTAAAATTATTTATATATAAACTAATAAAAAAACAAGACTTTTTAGCCAGATCTATAACACAATTAGAGTTGATAAGAAGGGTAAAATTTTTTAATAGTATCTAAATTTGTTATTAGAACATTGGCAAAACTTGTGAACACCAAAATTTATTATATTTTAATTCAAGCATGGTTTCACATAAATTAAAACTGAAAATAAAAGATGAAACCATATTTATTTACATAAATAGCATAAAGTATTCATTTGGGCTTACCGTTACGTCTAAATAGTCTTTTTGTATTTTGTACAAATATAGAAACAAAGTAACCGCCCTGATTGGCAGCTTAATTTATATAAATTAACTGCATGACAATTTTTTTATGGCTTTATGTATAAAAATATAAAAAATACGTAAGTACGTACGTATGTACATATGATTTTTTCATTAACCAAAAATAACTATTTATGTACTACGTATTTGTTCCGGACTAACGTTATTGAAAATAAGGCTTTCCGGATGTAAGTGAAAGTTTTTTTTAGACACAACATAACAATCATTTGTTTCTCATAATTTTTATATATGTCCTTTATTGTAAATAAACATGAGCTTTTTGCGTTGTCTTAAAAAAACGAAATAAAGCATATTGTTTAAATTGCAGGAATTTATGATTACAGTTTTCATTTATGTTTAAGTAGAAGTGCATTGCATCATTTACCTTTATATATAAGTATAATAAAAAAATCTCAGCCGATTTACAAAAAAGGAAATTTCAAAAAGGAACATTACCAAAAAGGGAATTTCCCGAAAAAGTTACATGTATGCTACGTAAATGAAGATCATAAAAGAAAAGAAAAATTCATTCAAGGAGATAAATATAATGAGTTGTAATATTCAGTACCAAAGATTTTTCTAAATTGTTAAGACGACATCTACCTCAAAGTCTACCGAGGATATTGTAGCGATAAGGGCTCAAAATCCTTTAAATTTCATTAAATTTCTTTAATGTCAGATACGTCTCGTGGACATAATTCTAGTCACGGAAATCAACCTGGACCTCAGAGATTAAAAGTAACACCTGAATGTAGGTTGAAAAATCCAGCAGCTTTAAAAAATAAGAACAGATCATATTCGAATATTTTAGAAGTCACAAGCACACCATCTCAGACCTGCAATCCTGATTCCATTGAGCCCAATCAAAATATAAAGATGAAAAAAACTTGTGCTCGTTGTAAAGAAGCAACTAAATGTGTTAAATTGCTTAGTTCTAAAATTGGTAAACTTGAGGAAATGGTAGATTCTTTAGCCGAACGATGTCGTTCAGATTTTGTAAATAATGAGGTATGATTAATTTTATTTTTGAACCAAAGAAAAACGCGTTATTTAAATGATATTTGTTGTATTTTTCTTAGACAATATACAGAGCCACAAATATTCCCGGAATTTTTGTGACAGATCACTTGGGACCTACAAATTCAGCACTTTTGCCTTTGGACACTTTTAACCTCTTTACAAGTGATCTTTCTAATTATAAACTTGAGGATTTGAAAAATCTTGCAGTTTTTATGACTAGTTGCACTATTCCTCCAACTTTATAATCTTATTAATTACACTTTATTCAAATTTATTGAACCTTGAACTACGGGAAAATTTACGCGTTTTTTTATCTTACAAAAACGTGATCTAGTTATATGTTGATCATTTAAGACCAAATTCATCAATTTTAGTCTTTTTTTTTGTCCTTTTTTTTTTGTCCTTTTTTTTTAGTTCTTTTTTAGTTCTTTTTAGTCCTTTGATAATAAAAAAAGCCGATATAGCGGCGAAAATAGGAACCATTCCCTGAAATATTCTTAAATTGATTCATGTAACCCTATTACACTCGAAAATTTACACTCGAAAATTTACACTCGAACATTTAAACTCGAAAATTTACCCTTGGAAAAATTTACCCTTGGAAATTTAAAATCGAAAACTTATCCTTGAAATTCTCCACCCGAAATCTACACCCGAAATCTACACTCGAAATCTAAACTCGAAAATCTACACTCGATTGGGAATCTAAAAAAAAACATATGGAAAAAGCATATGGGTATCGAAACACCGTTATTCCTTATTATTCCTATGTAGGCAATTGATATGAATTAATAAATAAATAATGAGAATGATTAGGCAAAATCAATCTAATTGAGCGCAGAATCTTATATGTAACACTATACCAGTAGTACTTGATGATTTGGGTGACACCAAAGAAAATCAGACTTCGATCAATATATAGTTATCAAAGATTTCTTTTGGCGTTACCCATTTTTAGTCATGGTCATATAAAAATGGAGGTTACTACGTACTGTACGTACGTACATCATGACTTGTTAATATGTATATATGTAGTATATATGTATATGTTATTTATCATATTACTTTCTATCTCTGTCAGCGTGCGTACGTGCGTGCATGCTTGCGTACGTAACCTCAAATTACTACAAATGATTTGTACCTAAAAAGAAATTTCCATTACAAACGCATATTCACGTGACCTTGCCATATTCTCTAGAATCGGCCATATGGCGAACATATAACAATAATCAAGCTATGTCAATAATGAATTGCATGACTTTTATGTCAATATGTGCATATCTATTTCCAACATTAGCATACAACGGAGAATTGACTTAGCGGTCAATCGGATAAATCGATCACGTGACAACCCTGACTCGGAAAATGAAATCCGTAAATAAACATAAATGAGCCTCTAAATTTGGTCTTTTTTTTTAAAAAAAAAACTGATAAACGGTACTTTCGGTTTTTAGATATAAAACTCACTTCTCATTAAAAAGAAAAACAAGACTTATTGAGTTTCTTTGTATGGTTCTTTAAGAAAAAAAAACTTTCATGATTAACCAAAATAAGCCTATTATATTCACCTTTTTAGTACGTATCTATAACGTAATCCAAGTAGTTACTACACAAGAACCTATTTCATGTCTTTGAAATACGAACAAGAAATAAACGCTAGTTTGCCATACAAAACGATTGCTTCGGGTCGCGTAATTCGAAACAAATCAACAAAGAATACTAAACCCCAAGCGGATCCATATCCAAATCCTCCTACCTCTGCTTCGAAATCAACAACTCGTACATGTCCAAAGTGCAAAGAATCCTCAAATTGTATAAATATGCTAAACAAAGAATTTCGTAAGATCGAAGAGTTGGTAGTTGATTTGATTGAAATCAATAAAGGGATCGAGGTTGGAATATTTATTATTCATAAAGTTTTATCAATATCAATAATATTAATAACATTAATAATATTAATAATATTATAATATTAGTAATATTAATAATATTAATAATATTATTATTAGGGGTCTGCAACCTGGGCTTGTGCCTATGCCTAACAAAAATTCAGGCATGGGCATGAGTATGAGCACAAAAATTTAGTATTTATTAATTAATTATATGTTTGGTACTATTTGACACTTGTGCCTGGCACTTTTTGGCATCTTTTTGCTTAGCATATTGTGCCTATGCCTATAAAGTACCTGACATTTGTGCTTATGGTTATAAAAATGCCTGGCATTTGTACTCATACCCATAATAATTCCTGGCACTTTTGAGCCTATAGGTATAGGTATGGCATGAGGCACTAGTGCCTGGTATGGGCATTTGCAGAGCTTTAATTAATATTTTTAATATTTTTGATATTTTTGATTTTTGATATTTTTGATATTTTTGATATTTTTTTATAATATTAATATTTTTAGTATTTTTAATAATATTAATATTTTTAATGGATTCTTTTAGATCAGAAATAGATGGCTCAAAACTATAGAAAATTATTCAACTATGAGTCTTGAAGATCTTCAAAGACATATTATGAAAACTACAAATAAATATAATAACCAACAATATATTAATAAGTAGATTTTATTAGTTTTTGTTTTATTACGATGAGTATAACGATAAATAATTATGAATACAATTATGATTTTTTTTACTCAAATTATGTCAAATAAATTGCAGAGTATATATACTTTCTTATTTTCCCCCCTCCCACCTTTTATAGCAAAAAAAAAAAAAATTATCTAATCAATACTATGATTTGATTTATTTAATAAATAAACGTAACTTGAAAACCTTATTAATGCTATTATATTTTGACTATATATTAACTATTATATTTTTGATTACATCTTTTATGTATTTTATATTTATGTTTATATCATAACTATGTTTTTGATTATGTTTTTGATTATATCATAACTATATCTCGATTATATCATACTATATTTTAATTATATCTGAATTATACGTTCGTCAAGAATTAGACACATGATCACTGGTACATATTTTCTACATTTAGATAGTAGATAGTGATATGCATCTAACGCTAAATGTTCGGTTTCCTTGAACGAGACTACCTGAAATAAGCTTCAATATGAGATTTTTTTTTATACATTTAACGCCAAAACGTCCATTCATTCTGAATCTGGTGATCATTTAAAAAATATATTAAGAAAGTATCTTATTTGTGCAACATCCATTAGTAGTATACGCATATACATACATACAAAATCATCCGCATAAATATTGTTTAGGTGTAATTCATATATTATATGCGTACTTATATGTACTTATACGTATTTAACGTTAAGCATATAAATGACACGAGAAGAAAACGATAAATGACGTGAATAAAGTGATAATGATGATCTTCTAACTTGACTTGTCAACAGAATAGCATTGATTCTTCTAACTTATCAACGAAACAGCATTGATTTACAACTTTCATTAGTAAACATTTCTTGTATACAAATACTTACGTACGTACATATGTACCTAAGTATCTGTTTATTAGCTTAGCTTTTTAATTTTCTAATGCTAGCCAGAAAAAAAATCATGTTGCATGTCAACATCTATTCGACATCTATTACTCCAAACAAGGATATTGATCCAGTAGTGATCATATGATCATTTCAATTCATATTTATACATGTCAGTGGAATTAACGCTAATCTTTTTCCATCTTAAGAGTAATAAATCTAAAATCGGTTTAGCTATCGGATATTTTATATAAACGATAACTGTCAATTAAAGTATATAATAATATAAACAAATTGTTTGGGAACGTACGTAACTATATAAAGATATAAAATTCTGCAAATCAACATGTTACATTTTGATTCGATCAATTTTCTGTTGGATTAGTTGAATTAACATTTGATTCTGTTTGATATTTGCTTCATTTAAATGTTCGCTACAACTTTGAATTATTTAACCCATTTAATAAAACATTTAAATTATATGATAGATAATACAAAATAAGTTAATTTATATTTGTAATACAATCCTAATTTGTTAATTTGTATTTGTAATACAATCCTAATTTGTAATATTCATTAAGTCTGTTTCGCGCGAGTAATCGGTATATGAAAAAAATTTCGTATTATTCTAATTTAGTAAGTTCATTGTTATTGTTCTTTCCATCTTACAGTCTTATATAAAGTTTTAATTCCGGTCTTCGTCGAAATTCGGCTGTGGCTTGAGATTTACAATAACAATAAACATAACCCTTATAGCTATTTTTACATTCATACAACTTAGCGTTAGTGTATTATATTTAATAATTTTTCTATTATCGTTATTGTGTAATATGTATCATAATTTTTCTTCGTTGAAATATAATACAGCATATGTACGTATAAGAATACAAACCTTAATATTATCCATCTAAAAAAGTTTATTATTTTTATTATTATTAATTATTATTAAATCTTATTATTATCTTTTTTTTTTTTTTTTAATAACGATAATACGACTTTAATTTTATTTAAAGTTTATCTATTGCATATATATATATATATGTATATTTATGTACATATATGTATAAATATGTATATATATATATATATATTTATATTTATATTTATGTATACATATACATTTTTTTTTTTTTTTAGATTAAGTACGTACTAATTTTCTTCATTAGTACTAATTTCTTCATTCAGAATAATTCATCCAAAAAAAATTTTTATTTGCTGAAAGTCGACAAAGAAGCATATGCATGTGGTAAAAGTTTATCTCAGGTAACATGTCGTAACATGTCGATGTCATTAACTCAACAATGTACTTCTCAAATTATCCAAAATTGGTAGAGGTTTGAAATTGAATGAGTTTTAGTTGGAAGTACATGTATGATCATCCAATAACGTCTTTGCTATTTTGGATTTTGGGAATCCTAATTATAGACAATTCTCTCTTGTTACTCTCGGTATGTTTAAAAACAATCGAAAATTTTAAGCCTCATTTGAACGGGCTGTGTTACTTATAAAAAAAATTATAAGAAAGCGGCGTGCGGCTATGTAACTTTAAATAATTGTCTGTTGCTTTTGTTTTGCTCTCGTATTTCCTGTTTACTATAACAATCTGTGAGAATTGCCGCTGAATATCTTTGGTTTATTCTTGTGTGATCTCTGATCAATCGATCCGTTCAAGATCTGAGCCACTTTTAATCGGTTTTTCTCTGGTTTTTTTTTCCTTAAGAATAAATCATAATAATATCCGAATCAAGCCTTACCATTTTTTAACTGAGATCTTTTACCTTGTAAAAAAAAAACAAAAGAAAACGAGCATATACATTTTAAGATTTACAATTTTAGTTTCAATAATTGAAGATTTTTAATGATCTTTATTGAGTAAGTAAATAATCTTACCCTTTTGTGTTTTATTTTACCAGATGATCGAATCGATCATTCTAAATACTTCAATTCTACGATATGCGATCTTTCTTTTTTTCAAAGAATTCTGATCGTCGTCAAATTAATTGATCATGTTAGTTAATTGATCATGTGCTTTCTAAAAAAAAATTATTTATAATTATCGTTATGCCGTGAAATCAAAAAAATATTCAAAGATCGTATGTCCAAGAGTTCGATTCGAAAATGTTTTATTCATTAAAAAAAAATGTGTTAATTTATAGTATTACTGACCTATTGATGTCCTATGATGTGCATTACCTAGCGTATAAACACGAAAATCTCAAAAGTCATGTTCATCACGCAGCGGAAAACGCGTCCGCTTGCTATGGCGTTATTTTTCTACTTATTTATATGTTTAATAGTTTCAACACAATCTCAATCGGTTTTTCGTGCGGCAACTATACTTGAAAATGGTCCTGTTTCTCCCGCAAACGTAATCACTTATCCCAATGACACTGTTGCTGTTAGATTATCTTACAATTTAACTTGTCCAAACAATAATATTACGATAATCCCGCTTCGTTTCATTTTTTCAAACATGACGCTTATCATTGCTGATATAGCTTATACTATTCCTTCTATTAATTATTGTCCCACAAATCGGACAAATACTACTACTTTATCTGATAAGATTGATATTTTTGCTTTACCAGGTATGTTCTTAAAAACTAATTGAAATATTTGAAATATTTTTTATATATATAAACGTAAATAATTTATAAATTCATAAATTCGTAAATTCGTATTTGTTTTCTTTTTCTCGATTATTTATTTTCTAGATAATTTTTTATTGATTCGTTATTGGAATGTTCCCAATGACTCACCGAATATGGTTCAATATTATGGCCTTATAGTATCAATTACTGGTGATATAATAAATGGGTAGGTAAATAATTTTTCAATGTTTTTGTAAACATTAAATTAGGTAATTAGAAATGAATATCACTTCTTTTAATCAGGAACACGCCAGTAGTGTTAAGTGATCCTATCAGCATTACCAACGCGACTGTGTCTAATTCTCAGATTACAACTTTAAATTTTGGTCAGAAAGGAATTCTTTTTGCTTCAAGTTTTGATCCAACGACAATTACTTGGACACGTTTCACTTGGGATTCTAATAGGTATCGTTTGTGTCATATTTGTTATTATTATCTTATTTTCTTATTATCACTTCCTTATTATCTTATTTCTTATTTTCTCATTTCTTATTATCACTTTCCTTATTATCTTATTTCTCATTTCTTATTATCTTATTTCTCATTTCTTATTATCTTATTTCTCATTTCTTATTATCTTATTTCTCATTTCTTATTATCTTATTTCTCATTTCTTATTGTCTTATTATCTTATTTCTCATTTCTTATTGTCTTATTTTCTCATTTCTTATTATCTTATTTTCTCATTTCTTACTATCACATCTCTTATTATCTTATCACATTTCTTATTATCTTATTTCTTATCTTATTTTCTTCAAATTATTTTATCTGATAATAGACAAGCTTTGAACAATGATTCTCAGAACGTTATTACCGCACCTACAAATTATCAGATAGACGATTTTAAAACCTTTATTACAATAGATGGTGGTTATGGGTTAGTTTACGCGGTTAGATTACAAAATCAGGATGTTTTAATACCAAGCACCTCTATTCATCCCACAACAATAACAGTTTTTTTGACTACCTTAAAGTCTGATTCCCGTAATTTTTCAACTCCTGTTATAATCTATCAATCAACATTAACGGAAACGAAAATTTCAATAAGTGAATGTCAAAGTAATTCTGGTGGTCGTCCTGGTTGTGTATGCTATATACATGGTCAAAGTACTCCTGAAAGTTTAACTCCTGGTGTGAATTTCTGGCAAATGATATTTTTTCTTGCCGCAGGAACCGTCGTTTCAGCCGTAGATTTACCCAATAATTTTGTTACTGGTGGTGACGTGATCACTTATAACATAACATATTCTTTACATGATGATGGTATTTTAATGTTAGGTCGAAATCAAAATGGTACTTTACGTGGTTCAATTTATAATGATAATGGTGTATATGTACAAGACTGGGGATTACCACAATCTCAAGGAATGTTGGCTTCTTATACTGATAATACTAATACTGTATGGGCGATTGCTCCCTCAATAAACAACTCTTGGACTGTGTACTCTATTATATTGCCCTCACTTTTACCTAGAGGTAAAGTATTATAATACCTTCTACGGTATCATACCATATTTTCATCTCAAATATTTTTTCATTTTTTTTTTAGATATCTTATTATTGAATCCTAGTATTGAATCTATTTATCCAACTGTCAACTCATCAATCCCTCTGTATACATCTTCCATTACGATAACATTTAATCAAGATGTTGTTCCATCAGTTGCAAATATAAGTATATACCAGAGAACTAATACCTCTGATAACTTGCGTCAGACACTTTCCGCCAATTCATCTGCAGTCCATTTTATTACTAGAAGAGAAATTTTAGTTGATGTATTACCAAGTACTTTTAACCAAGAGGGTGCAAACTATTTTATTACAATTGATCCTAATTTTGTAATGTTAAGGTTACCTTATGAACCATTACCAGGTGTAAGCAATGGTACATGGTCATTTTTTACTGAAAACGTTACCAATCCTTTTACAGGTTTGTAATTCATAATTATTTAAAAAAGAAATGATAATGATTATTAAAATTTTTTATTTATTTATTTTTTTTTTAATTATTAGAAAATACTGATGTGGCCATCCGTCTAACGGAAGAAGCTACTACTCATTTCGATAAATTGAATGAGACAGCAAAATCTGCTTACTATGATGAATTGATTACTTCTTTTGCAAATGCAATATCTGTAAATACTACAAGATTATCTATGCAAAGACGATATCAACATGATGGTAATTTGAAAGAACCGTGGCCAATTCTATTTCGTGTGACACTTATTGCAGCTCAAGATTCAAATGAAATTAGTACACAAGAAATGTATGAAAGTTTAAGGGTTTTAGTTACCAACAAAAGTATCACGAGTCTTATGTTTTATGAAAGTACTGCATCCTTGGATTCGGAATTCGGTGTGATGCAATTAAGTAAGATTTCAAATTTTTACTTTTTTACATTCAAATTATTTAAAGGTTTGTTTTCTTGACAAAAAAAAAATATTTAATTATAATAGTGAGTATATGGGAGAGATATCGATTTGAAATCGCGGGGGTGATATGTATTATATTTGTTTTATTTGTTGTAATCTTCTTGGCAAATCATACTCATCCAGAGGTAATTATATAATTCTGATTATTTTCTTTTAAAGTAATATATATATATTGTTTTAACAAATTTTAATGTTTGGATATAAGGGAAGAAGCATGGAACTTTTCAAATTTGTTTTAATAATGTCGGATTTTGTTCTTGATATTTTCTTCCTTTTCACTCGAGGTCATGATGTACCTGTTCTATTTCTTCCAAGGTAATTTTCCATTTTCAGTTTCAACTAATTACATTTTTAATCTATTCAAAAAAAAAATAACATCTAACTCTAATTTTTATAAACAATAGTCTTCTTATAATATTGGTTGGAATTTGTGTCAATTTTTTTATCACCATGTTTATATTCTTTAAAGAATTTTATGGAAACGATAATTTTCATAATTGGGCAAGACAAAATGTTGTTGCTTCTTCAGTATTTATTGTTCTAAGTTATTGTGATATAGAAGCTTTAGATTTTGTTTCTTCAGATATTTCAAATTCTTCTTGCGTTCAAGCACCTTTTTCCGAAGGTGTATATGAAGCCATGTACATATGTACCTTATTTGTCATGTTAATTGAAGATATACCACAATTTATAATTTTGGTATGTGTTAAATTAATTTTTATTTTTTTAAATTTATAATTTAATTTTAAAAAAAAAATAATTACTAACATTAAATAATTCAAAAAAAAAAAAAAAACTTTTGATTTGATTTTTAATTTTAGGTTTTGTATTTACAACGTGTAGTTATATTTAGATTCATTCCACTCATAACAATATTCACATGCGCACTAATAATAGTAACAAATATTGTTAGTCATATATATGATTGTATTGTTATGGTTCGAGATTCAAGAAAAGCTGATCTATCAAGGAAAACATATAAAGAATGGTGGCAAGTTGGAAAAGCTTCAGCTTCAAAAAGAATTTCTTCTCGTAAACATCCTCATTTCTTAAGTGGATTTGTTCCTGTTCAACCTGGTCCGGTTATTCAGGTTACAACCCCTGAAGCAAGTACCGGTATTATATCTGAAGAAATACCCGATGAAGAAGAAGCAGATGAAAATCTTGGTGCTGGTGTCGGAGGTTCTTAAAACATATTCAAAAAAAAAAATTTAAATAAATAGGATAATAAGACATTGATTGATAATGACAACAAAAAAAAATATTACTAAAAATTAGCTATTTGTATATATATAGATAGATATAGTGTTCTTGTAAATAGTGTATTTCTCTTTAAAGAAAAAGAAAAAAAAAAGAAATAATCTGTATATTATGTACTTAAAAGTTTATTTTGAATAGTACTAAAACATTCCAATGGTGTTTAACACCATATATATTTTTTTATACGTAATAATTTTATTATAGTGCGAGACAATTGAATACTACATAAACATTAAAATTTATTCTACCATTTTATCGTTAACCATTAAAACTAATATACTAATAATAAAAAAAAACTTTTCTATTCTATTATTAGTTTACAAGTGCGTTGTGTATTTGATCAAGATTTTAGGTGAAAAATAAATTGTTTAATTGTTAGGTTATAACGATAACAAATTTATGAATGATATCTAATACGTAGTAATAATTGGATAAGGAATTATTAGATCTTTTGAAGTGTAGGTGACCTCTCAAATAAAAAGTATGCGGCATGAACTATTAAAACAGCTTATTTTTATTGTCTGGAGTGAAGTGACAGACTTATACTTTTATATACTAAACATTCAAATCTAGGTGAGTTTTGATCATTCTAATAGGTTTAAGTTACAGATAAATTAGTTTTAATTTTTATTTTTGTATGTAATTTTCAATTTATTTATTTTTTTAAATATTAAGGTGAGTACTTGCGATACAGAATTTTATTGATAGTATATTTGGCTAATGGTTGCATTATAATCACAGGAGACAACCATGAAAAGAGTGTACAACTAGTCACTCATATAACTTTAGTTATTGTCTAATTTAAGTAGTTTGCTTGAAGGTTCTACACTAGTTGTCATACCTGGAACCTGCTTGTAGGTTTCTTATTTAAACACTTTAGTTTCTATATTTATTTATTTATCTCTGTTTACTAATGATTCCAGTTAATGTTATTGAAAATATGTCATAATCATTAAGTCTTTAAAGCAGTTTATTTATATAAGGAACCTTTGATCTTGTACTAAACCTTTTATAATCTTCTGTATCTTATTATTGGTATTGTTATGGTTGAGATTAACACTTACAATTAGGGTATACTATTAAATTACTATGTCTTTGTAAAGTTTATTCTAATCTTAGCAATGACTTTACAATATATTTCTATTATTTTGATATTCAATTCAAGTTTCATCAAGTTTTTAAACCAAATAGTTTAAAAAGACAAGTTATAATTATACATCTCTGGTTTACATGTTCTTTGGTATGTAATCTTTTTTTTGCAAAACAGATTATAACAGTTTGGTTGGCTTCATTCAGCCCTTTTTTAAAGATTAATTCTTTGCCTAATTTTACAAGTTTTAGTTTTATTTTGTAGGTTTAGTCTTTTCAGTAACATTGTTAAAAGTTCAGGCTACCTCTTTATTCAGATCTTTCAAGTAGACTTTCATCTTCCTATCTGGTTTCTGTAATTTATATGACCTAAAGACTTATTATAGGTTTACACTGCCTAGTACAAGTTTGTGTTTTTTCATACAATGTTATACAAATAGTTAGACCTTCTAGTCATACTGGTATAACACAAATTATAGATAACTAATTCTAACTAATCATAAAAAACAGTTAATTATAATATAAAAAGAATTGTAAATTTTTGTTATCACTGAAATTTGAACTCTGGATCTATCACTTGAAGATTAATAACCTGTTCATTTTACTAGATTACCACATTCTTTATAATTTTTAATTTATTTGTTTTATATAAATAGTAGTAATTATATAATTAGTAATTTAATAATTAATTCTAATTGCAAATATTGGTATTTATCTGGCATTTACTATTTAATGAATTCTATAATTATAAGCTGTTACTAGTTATTTAAATTTATACTATTTTATGATATTTATAATTTACTATATAAATAAATAAAATATGTCATATATAGCTAAACTGTTATTATATAAAAAATTTAATGATATTGAAAATTTTTTAAAATTGCTTATGCTAAGCGAAGACCTTAATTAGGCTTAAATATTTTCTATTATTTTGATCACAATTAATTACATGCATTAATATCTAATTATTATTAAATGTATAATTGTTATAGTATTTTTTAACAATTGTTATAGTTTTATAACTATATAATTGCTTGTTTTCATTACTAGTTAAATTGGATATACATTTTCAAGACTTATTCTTATTTTTTAAAAGTTCATTTGCTGTATAAAAATTTTCATGAAATTTATATTTGTTTATTCTCTAAATTTTTATTAATTTAACAAAAATAAATTGTTTTTTGCTAAAAATTTATCAAAGTTTAACAAACTTAAATTATTACTTGTGCAGATATATCTTTACTTATATAATCATCTTCAAATATATAATTTTGTAAGTCTTTATAATCATCAGCTTTAGAATCAGAATCTTTAATCGAATTTTGAAATGCTTCAGTAGATGATGAAGATGAAGCAATTATTTTATTAAGGATATTTACTAATGCTTCTCTGTTATGATTATCTGTAGGTTTTGCATAAGCATAATATCCATCAGAAGATTTGTGTTCACTAATTGCATGACCAGTATTTTCAGGTACTCTAATGCTAAATAATTCCATAATACTTGTTCTTCTATTTGAGTGATTACTAATATTTCTTTTTTCAATATTTATTCTACATTCAATGCAGATCAATTTAAAAAATGACTGGATTGTACAATCAGCTAATGGTTTATCCAAATACCAGTTTTCTTTAACAATAGCTTTATTAATAATTTATTAGCCTATATATTAAATATAAAAATCTGTATATAATATAACATCATATAAATATTATATTACCATTTGAACTTCGAGAAGCAAAAAGATAAAAATTTGAACACTTGGAGTTTTTAGGACATAAAGAAATATATTTTCTTATATTAGCATTTGGTTCTGCGACATTTTGTAAATCAGATGGAAAAGATATAGTTAAATCAAACTGACTTCCATCTATTTCTTCTTAGTCATTTTTCTGTTAGGTCTTTTTAAAAATAATACCATTTGGTATGTTCACAATTTGCTATAAATGCAAGTTAATATGTTCACTACCTCTGGCAGCACCAAGTATAAAAATTCAGAAAAAAACCTGTTTTAGTAATCCTAAAGGAGTATTTGGATCTAGTACTTCATGATTTAATATATGCCAAATTTCTTTAGTAGTTAAACCGTCAGTAGATTTTAATTCTCCAAGTTCTTTTTTTTTCATGTCTTTAAGTAAACCATCAAATTGTGCATACAAATCAGAAAACACATTTTTGTTATGCAAATTATATTTCCAATCAGGTTTTACATCTTGAAGATAATGGTTGTTTGCTAACAAAGCATTCTTTAATGAAGTTCTTAAATAATGTCCATCTTTTTGAGGTGTTACACCACATAAAACTTAGGATACTTGAAGTTCAATTATTTTCTTACTAAGACTTTCAAGTGGTTCACTATAATTAACATCTGACTACCATTGATTCATAACTTTAATCCATCGCTTAGTATTTTTGACTGTATTTTTTGGAATACATCTTTTAGCAAGTGTTGAAAGGTGGACAGTTTAAGGTAAAAAATTAGATCATTCACTCATATTTGAGTTTGATTTAATAAAGAAAAGATCATAAAAAAAATAAACCATTGCATATTTATAATTTTTATAACTGATAAATTTTGTGATCTGTTAAAATTTCTGTAATTAATAGTTAATATAGTGATAAGTAATAATAAACTATATTAGGTTTTTACTTTATGCTAAATAAAACAGTTTTGAGGCACAAGTGCCTCATAACTGCAATACAATTCACATTTTTACAAATATTTCAAAGCTGATATAGTACTATTGCACCATGCCAGTTTCAAAATATCTGTAAAAATGTAAATTGTACCTTACTAGTATTTGCGCATATAATCTGCTTGTTCACATTTTGTGCACCTTCAGTGCTTAAAATCGATCAATCAAATTACATTCTGTAAATACCACAGTTATTCGGCACTTTGTGTCTCATAACTATTAATTATTATAATACATATATATATATTTAATTATTTTAAATTACTAAAAAAGATATAGACAAGGTTTTATTTTAATATTAAAAAAATATATATATTAATAATTATAAATAATTAATATAAGATAAATAATTAATATAGAATGTGATAACTTAGTGAAATAGATAAGTTATTAACCTTTAAGTAGTAGATTGAATATTTAAATTCTATCATTAACTCTTTCTGCTGATCACCAAAACACAAAACTTGCAGAAACAAAAATCAAGACTAACAGGAAAACCACTGTCAAAACTATGCTTGAAAACTTAACAAAAAAGAAAGAACTGCAAAAATAGAACTAGCAAGCAAAGCAGCAGAAGAAAGCAAACCAAGAAGCAAGTAAAGAAAAGACAAACTTTTCAAATGAACCTCAAAAAAAGTAAATTTTGAGGAAATAGCTTAGACCTAGAATTGCAGATCTGTTTGAAACACGTGAGCATGTGAAGAGACAAACAAACAGGCATGTACAAATATAGACAAAGTAAACACATAAGTATTATAAAGGGCACATGATTATAAACAAAGCAACACAGAACACAGCCACAGATGACATAGGCAAAAGCAGAAAAGTCAATAATGCTAAAATTGGTAAGTGAAAGAGTAGAGACAATACTAAAGCTTATAGGCAGCAAAGAATTAGAACAAGAACTAGCAAATAGAGACAACCATTTTAATGTAAGAGATATAGTAGCAGCAGC